GCCATTTAATAATATGTGAATTGAACAAATACAGTACAGAATGAGAGCTGGTTAGTAATTTGTGAATAAAGAAGTTGGAATCAAAATCAGATAAATGAAAAACAAATTTCACAAATAAAGTATTTTTGAAATGCAAGTCCTGGTTTTTTCTTAAGGATAATTTGGAATTCAAAACTAAAGAAGGAAAGTTGACTTTTGAAAAGTGCTTGAATTATCAAGTTTCTGACTCTGTAAAAAATTTGGTTAGTAATGAGAGAATGCAATGTGATCCCTATATAGTAATGTTCTACTGAATGAAACACGAGTTGCCTCAGATTAAATTTAATTATGAACAGTTATGTATAGAAAATGAGCCTTTAAGTAAAATACTTCAAAATGTCATGTAGAGGGACATTCCGTTAATGAATATACATCTCTAATGTATTACTTCCAAATACAATTCAAAAATTAAAAGACCTTACTTTCATGTTTACAACTCAAAGAGATATATTTTCTTAATTTCTACGAATTTATAGTGTGAAAAAAGTAAATTACTTCTGTGAGTAGAAATTTTCTGGAGAATTAGACATTTGAATGACAAACATTTTTAAGTAAAATATATAATAACATATTTGTATTAATTTTTATCCAATTAAGAGTCTTTTATTCTATTTTCTTAAGACAAATCTGTTTATAGTAATGAATGATGAGGCCCCATTATAGTTATTTTGGTCTTACATTGCAGTATCTACAAATGCATATTTACTGTGATAACTTTTGTTAAAATAATGTTTTTGTCGTTAAAACTAATATCAGATATATTTTTCAGGAAACGAATTAACCTTAATTAATACATAAATTTTTATGCATACAAGCACACAGCAAAATTAATTATTATGTAAAACATTCAAACGTTTTCTGGCAATTATTTCAATCAAACAAATAATGTGGACCATAAACAGTATTTATTTCTGATGTTTTATCAAGATTGAGTTTTTACAACTTTAACCATTATCCATTAGTATTACAAATGTCTAAATATAAAAATATGACTGAAATTAATTAACTAGCAATTACAGCTGCTATGGTCAGGAAACAGTGAAACATTGTTATAACCATTACAAGTTCTTGCAACTTCTGTATGACTAGTAAAATAAAATTGTAATATATCATACTGAGTTAAAGTGGCCAACATTCGTGGGCAAATGCAACATTTCTCTGCTACACTTGGCCAGTTTTGACACCATAAACATAAGGAAGAACACATAAAATTGAAAACTGTCTATATCACTGATGGGACCTGCAAGCAGATATTTTTGTATCAAATCCCATGTAATTTGGTTGAAATACAGAAGAATAATTCACAAAATCCCCAAATTGTGCTTTTCTTGCTGAAAAATTGATCAAAAGACAAAAATTCCAAAATTTTCTATATTTCTCTTTGGAATCTGTAAAAAAAAGTATCTTTCTACCATATCCCACGTAAACTGGCCAAAAAACAGTGGAGTAATTGTTAAAAAAGCCCAACAATTATATTTGTTTTTTGTGGTATCTTGATTCCCCTATAATTACTAAAAAATGAGCAAGTGCACCATTTTTTAAATATATGTAAAGGACCTGTAGAATAGTATGCTTCAGATAAGTCCCATGTAAATTGGTCAAAATATGGCCAGGTAATTAACCTAAACCCCAAAAATTATGCTTTGTTATGAGCTCTGACCCCCCCCCCCTCCCCCTAAAAAGAAATGAACCATCACTACATGTAAACTGTGTAGAGGAACACCTTTTTGACGTTTCTATAGAGCATGCAAAGTTATTAGTCAGAATAAGAAAAAGAAGGCCATTTAATAATATGTAAATTGAACAAATACAGTACAGAATGAGAGCTGGTTAGTAATTCTAGAAACAAAAAAATCACACTGGAATCAAAGTAAGATAAATTAGCAAACAAGAAACCTTTTGAAAGGCAGACCTTTCTTATTCAAGATAATTTGGCTTTCACAACTGAAGAAGGAAGATCTACCTTTCAAAACTTATCAGGCTTGTAATTTTGTAAAAAATATGATTAGTAATGAGAGAGTGGAATGTGTCCAATAATTTGTGATAAAACAGTACCATATATTATAACTAACTAAAATATCAACACGAAATGGATATGAAAAGTAAAAACATATGTTAGCACACAACTTACCACAACCAACTTCATCAGAAAAATCATTACAGTCAACCCTGCCATCACAATGTCTCCTTATATCAATACAAGACCCATCATTACATGTAAACTGAGTAGAAGAACATCTTTTTGAAGGATCTAGAGCATGCAAGGTTGTAAGGTGGAATAAGAAAAAGCTAGAAGTTTCCAAACAATTGATCTACACAGTTAAATGATTACAGAATGAATATTTGTTTTAAAAAAGAGAAAAAGTAGATTAAATATTTCTGAAATTATATTTTTTCGTTCATAATTTAATCTAAAATAATGTTACTTCTCAGTGTTTTTGGAGCTCAACTCTATATATTCATAAAATGTTCAATATTGTTATAACATAAATGGAGTTCTTCTATGATATATGAATGACTATAACTGAAGTCACCAATCTTGTCATGATACTAGTTTAGTACTAAAAATATGACTACTTTCCACTAAACTACTTCATGAAAAACTTTATTTTAATCCATAATGAAAGCAATTAGGATTAAAAATAGGTTTCAAATACAATATATAATAACCCTACTAAAATAATTTCAAAATGAAGACTCGATGACAAACAAAACCTAATTTACTGTACACCACAACTTACCACAATCAACTTCATCAGAAAAGTCTCTACAATCAACTGTACCATCACAATGTTTTCTTCTATCAACACATGAACCATCATTACACATAAACTGTGTAGAGGAACACCTTTTTGACGTTTCTATAGAGCATGCAAAGTTATTAGTCAGAATAAGAAAGCCATTTAATAATATGTGAATTGAACAAATACAGTACAGAATGAGAGCTGGTTAGTAATTTGTGAAATAAAGAAGTTAAATAAAGAATCTAGAGCATGCAAGGTGGAATAAGAAAAACTGAGCATTTTTACTTCATATATTTGATACATGCAATTAGTATCAGAAAAATATCAATCAACAAAAATTATATTTTTTCATTTTGCTTTTTTCTATGAATGGTAAAAATGTTCCATTAATTTTTACAAAGTTGCAAGTATAATGTACGGTTAATTCAGTTAAGATTACTTTCTTCAGATAACTCTTCATCGCTTCAATGTTACAAAGAATCAATGAAGCATTTATTTTCATGAATGAAACCCTCAATTTTTTTAGTTATGTTGTTGTTAGCATTTGAATAAAAGGAAACATACATGTTGACAATTTCAGAGTTTTTGCTAACTGTGGTTATTTATATCAGATGTTCTCTATCAACATAAGATTTAAATTTAGACAATTTTTACCCAAAAACTAAAAATATTAAATGTAACTTAAACGTGCTGTTGGATATACAAGACTTTTTAATGTAACTTAAACTTGCTGTTGGTTATACAAGACTTTTTAATGTAACTTAAACTTGCTGTTGGTTATACAAGACTTTTTAATGTAACTTAAACTTGCTGTTGGATATACAAGACTTTTTAATGTAACTTAAACTTGCTGTTGGTTATACAAGACTGTTTAGTGTAGGTAGTAGTAACTTATTTATTCTGTGAGTTAATATTTCATGATTGTTTAGTTTTTTTTCCATAATAAGAGAGTTAAAAGCAATTATGTTAGAGACAATAGTTATGACAAGTTTGGTTATGTAACTTTGTAAGTCATATGTTGTGTTTGCAATTCACTAGTGTCAAGGCTATAGAAAATTCTAGAGGTCTCAGTAATAAACATAAATAGCAGTAACCAAAGGAGTGGAAGCGTACTAAAAGTAAACTCAATTAACATCAGCTAATCTTAAAACAGCCGCATATTTCTTTCTTTTATACTTTCATCCAAAACTACAAATCACATTATGTATAAAAAAAACTTGTATATAACTAACTGAATAACTATTTCTCAATACTGTTATTTATTAGTTAACAAGTTGTGAAGTAATTTAATTTCAACTTTAAATCTTCAGAAATTAATTTCAAACAGATACCTACTTCAGAAATATTTCAAGCCTTTTGAGTTGCTCTGATACTGTCAACAATCATGTGACTTCAAATTCTGAATGTCCTTGATGCAATGCAGAGCATATGTCAGAATTCTCCATTTTTCCCACCTTCTGTGTGTTATGATGTGCATGCATTAGGAGAATGTAAATAAGCCCTGTTTTCCCACTATAAGCCAGATTCTTTGTTTATAGTCGTGATGATACAATTTATTTCTCCTTGTTGTGAGTTGTGGGTGGGAATGTATTTCAGTGATAATTACCTGTTTGAAATTCATTTTTATCCTGAAAGTGTAAAATTCAAATAAAATAGACTTACCACTGAAATAATAAAAGCCAGAATACCCACACTAAAACGAAGGAGAGAATGGGTGAGTATCATGAAAAATGCTGATTCCACAAAAGTAAGGCTCTGGGGCAGGAAGGTAAAAACCTAGACCACAACAAAGGAAGTAATTGGCCATCTGGAGTTTGAGTAGAATCCAGAAACAAAATAAAAGAATAAGAGTCAATGAATTAGATTCATGGAAGAACAGAGTGGAAAAGATCAGCCTCAACAATCAAAGTGAGGACCCTCAAAATTTGGATTCATCTAGATCTTTTATGTTCTCCTTGGCTCTCACTGAATAGACCAATTTCATAAATTGGCCAACCTTTTTTGGAGTAGGATGAAAGGATGATCTTAGACTTTGGAGTATGTGCAGTCTTTAGTTGTTATTGGTTCCCTTTACTAGGAATTTTACATTGCAGATACAGGACAACACCTTGGAATGTGCAGTGCTCCACGTATTCTGTTATTACTGGATGTCCAGTGCAAGAGGGCACCTTGCTGAGAAAAATGTCGGATGGGCTTTACAACTTAAGGACAGTGCAATGGAACTACCAATTAACATGAATGGAAGAAATAAAAAGATATAAGGTGATCCCTATCCCAGATGGAGATATGAGACATCATATGGATAACAGGTGTCTTGTCCCTGATGTCTCAAATGCTATGCAAGTATGTGAGAAAGGTACCTGCCAAGAAATCAGCCATCAGACCGCATCCTCTCCATTTAGAGAGAGCATTATCTTCCTACTGTCCTCTACCATAGAGGGATGAATTTTGTCTAGAAGAAACGTATACGTGAAAGTCCCGACTCTACAAATCCATAACAGTCTTGTATTTTAAGGAAAGATAGTGATCATCTTGGTAACATCATGATAAACAAGAAGGATCAATTGTACAAGCCAATTTACTGATGTAGCCAAAGCAAAGAAATATGATTCATTGTAAACAACCTTTTCCAAGCCATCGTGGAATATTTAGTATGTGTAATATAACAATGAACATATACATTCGTCAATATAATACTGAGGATCAGACAGGGTGGGTAAGACAAATGAAAAACAGTAGTTACCTTCTCTCACAGCTCAAGTTTAGGGAGTAAGCATTAGCTAAGTACAAGGAAGAGTCCTTCTCAGAAAACAAGGTACATGAAGGGCAGAGTTATCTGAATGTTGTTAGGTATACATGACTGTTTTAATTTAAGTAAAGCATGAGTGTCAGATTTAGTTATTTTTTTACAAGAGATAGTTTGTTGCAGGTTTGTTTATATAGCTGAATTATATGGGTTAGTTCAATTTTTTGTGAACTGGTGCTTGTTGTATTATTGCATCATGTTACTAGAACCATCTATTATTGCATCACAATATCTTGTAGTGCATGGAAAATACTAAGCCTCAATCAGGCTATTATAAATATGCATCCAAAATGTACTTCAAGTAAGACAAAGTTAGTGAGAGGTATTATCAAATAGATCTACACTGCAAGTTTAGCCATAAAGAGATATAGTGGTTGTTTTTTAAAGTGAAACTATTGTAGATTGTATTGTGACAGAGTAGAGAAGAATAATTTGTATTGTGAATTGTGTTCTAATGTAACTAAACAAAACTGTGTGGACTTTTGACAAAAAAAAAAAAAAAATTTAAAGCTATGGATACACCAGTGGTAACCAATGGTGTAACGTAAGTGAAATTATCAGCGATTGTATTGTAATAACAGAGCAGAGGAGAATAATTCAGCTTGTCAATTGTCTTCTAAAGTAACTGAACCAGCCTGTGTGAACTTTGATGAAAAGAGATGATTACTTAAATCTCTGGATACAAATGTGATGACTAACTGTGTAACGGATATTTGTAGACATGTTTGTCTTGTTTTAATATATTCTTTTAAAACAAGTGGACTGTGTGTTGTTTGTTTATTGTTGACAGACACCTACTGTAAAGAATCCTGCCCCAATCAGCTACATGAAAGATGGTAGTGATTTATGGGTAAGTTGATGCAAGTTTTGCACTGCATCAAGAACATTTAGAATATGAAGTCACATAGCTGTTGAAAACACAAAAGCAACTCAACAAGAAAGTAGTTAGTATTTCAGAGATAAGTCTGCCATATTAAAAATATTTATATATCTATAGCATTTATTTTTGAAACAAAAATGGTTTAATATGCAACACAGATGACCCATATCACTTATCTAATATTAAAAGCAGAATAACAGAAACTGTTAAGAAAGAACTTCACAAAAGTTTTGTTAATATGTTAAACACAATTATACCCCCACCCCACAAACATACTATTGTTATGATTTTTCTCCAAATCAAAATAAACATTTGTCAAATCAAACTAACTTATTCTTTGTAACTTACCACAATCAACCTCATCAGAAAAATCATTACAGTCAACCCTCCCATCACAATGCCTCCTTATATCGATACAAGAACCATCTTTACATGTAAACTGTCTAGGGGAACATCTTGAAGAATCTAAACCATGCAGAATTGTTAGACAGGTTAAGAAAGAGATAGATATTCTGTTGTTTAAGAATAAATAAAAAGCATAACATTCATCTTAACATCACAGAATGCACAGTGGTTAGTTAGGAAAGGTTTAATAAATACTTTGTATTCAGTGTAGGGCACATGCTACTTCACTTCATTTTGCTTATAGATAAGTTTAGACTGTCATACAATTCTTCATACTAACATCTAGAAAGTTATATCCACAAGATAATCCATAAAAAATATTAACATTTGTGTCTGATATTTATTGATCTCTATATCAAAGTTGTTGCTTTCCTCAGACTTGTAATGCAAGAATAATCTAACAAGAGTATTAAAAAATTATTAATTTTAAAATCAAGTAGGGATCCTGCTATAAAAAGTAATGAAACAAGAATTAAAACCACAAATTTATAAAATTTAATCCCCACCTTGGATTAAGTTTTATAAATT